AATATACAATCAATAAACGAACTTTTCGATAAAACAATATATATAGTAAAATTGTTGAGTTTAGATTTTTTTCTCTTTATTGATAAAATAAAATATAGAAATTTTATTAGATTATCATAATTTACCAGAAATACAAATTTAAGCAAGTTCATGCTTAAATAAAAAAAAGAGTTAATATAATGTCAAAAATTATTTAATAGTTGAAAAAAAATTGATTAAGTGTTAAAAAGTAATACCATAGCTGATTTTGAAGTGATTAAGCATAATCATAAGAAAATAATGAGATGAAGAAATAAAATAAGACAATCCTCCATGTCGACCAAAATTTTTAACCATTATCTATTAATAAACATTTATATTAAATGTGTAAATAATATATATTATCGTATAAAATTTATAAAGTAAAGATATCGTTTTCTATAATAGGTTAGCTAAAGAAGGAATAGTATCAGCAGTCCATTTTCATACCACTTTTTTGTGAATCTGAAATATATATGTTATTAAAAGAATCAATAGTAAAATAATAAAATTTATTGGAAAATTTATTAAATCTAATTCAGATAATATTTGTTTTTAAGATTGCATAAATAATAGAGGTTAATTAAATTTATTTTAGTAAGCTTTTGCAAATTGTTATGAAAAAATAATGAAATCAGATTTAAAAATTTTCGTTGAATAATCAAAATAGTGTAATTTTTTTAACAGAATTCATGTTCTCAGTCTTTAGCTTTTTGGCAACTTTTATCTTATAATTCTTAATTTTAAAAATAGTCTTGTGAAATTAACATAAATTTAACTAGAAATAATCTACTTACCTATTAAAAATAGAAGTAAATACTATAACTAAATGCCCTTTTTCTTGCATAAACCTTTAAAACTTTTCATGTTGATGAAGGCTAGAAATTCCAGAAAGGTGTTAAAAATGAGGAGAATATCATAATTATTACTGAGTTTATTCAGACTAATGTCATTATTTAATTCTTTAAAAGAAGAAATATGACAAATAATATCATTTGCATAAAATAAAATGTAAAATTATATAAAATACACCTATACCATATCTTATAAACAAATTCTTCCAAGCAGAAATAAATCACATTACATAATTATTCGAGCTTCAAAATCAAAATCAAGAGAATATTTTTGAAATCATTCAATCATAATAATAATACTAGGAATTAAAGTTTAATAAAAAACTATTTTTAATTGATCGATAGTTATAATTGGTTAATTAACATTTAAAGTCTAAGATGATAATTTCTTTTAGACCATAAGATATAGATTTAATAAAAAAGAATACTTTATTTTAGAATGCTAGTAAATAGTTGATTAATTTTATAAGATCCCATTTTTTATAATGTTGTATGGTATGCATTAATTATTTATAAATTCTAATCACCTAAGTTTTTCTGTGAATTCTTTTCACTCTCAATAACTTTGAAAAGAATTTTCAGTAGAAGCTAAATATTATATCTAAATAATTTGCCTTGACTTTACAAACTTGATAAATTATAATTAATATGTAAATATATTTAAAAGAATCTTGTAGGTATTGTATAGTGAAGACAAAATTTATCATAATGAAACAGTTATAAGGCTTAATGGGTAATCTAACAGAATTTTTGATTATTTTTGCCAAAAAAGAAAGAATTTTGAAATATCCTAAATATCTTTAGAGTTATAGAATAAAAAAAATCCAAGTATTTTTTGACACTTTTTACTGTTAAACAATGACATAATCATAGAATTCTCTAACTCTGATCAAGAATCATATTAAAAAATTAAAATTTAATAACTATTCATCTAGGTATTTTGCATTAATTATCTTCCATTGCCCAAAGCCTGTTGTAACTCTGAATGATTGCGTAGATAATTTAAAATTATATCTGCTATCAAAGACTGTTATAAAATAGTCGAGACATAAAGAAAAATAAAGAAACATTAATAAATTCAAAATTACTTAAATAGTATCTATTTACTCAGTGATAAAGTAAGATTATTTTCTAGATAGGTTTTAGAATGGAAGAATGTCTAAATCATTGAGTAGAGCAGCAAAAAATTCAGTTACACCTATTTAAAAAGAGATATTTTGATAATAAATTTTATATTTTTAGTCTTAGTTTTAATCTTTTGAATTAACTACTAAATAATTCCAAGTAAGCAGGGCCACAACTAAGTTTGGTATTTTTAATTAGATAATTTCAAAAATACATAATTGCACCTTAGATGCAAACCATTAAAATTATTCTTAATAGGTGGAGTAAATTAATTTTTCATTACCTATAGAAATAAGGTTCTTAAATTAAATTATATAAAGAACAAAATAATCACATTCTAGGAATCGAATTCGGGATTTAGTTTAATTATTAAAAGTGATGGTTCCTTTAAGGGATTTAAAAACTAAATCTTTTTACTCAACTACCTCACCTCTAGACCTTTAATTGATCTCTACGAAAGTACTTTTATGGATTAAATCCTCTTCCAAATTTCCTTCGTTGTGACCAAGGACTTACATCTTTATTCTACCTTCAATCAAGGTGGGCAACCAGGTCTAGATTAAAGATGAAAGAGAGATCAGGGTTTCTTCCAATTTGGGCTTCTCATGATTACTTATAAGCTTTTTCTTTATGTCATTCTCATCGAATTGATGAGGGCGCCTAATTAGCGGTTCGTCAGACAGAAATAGCAATCTGCCAGTCAGAGTCTTCAATTGGATGGCTGAGGGTGTCTGAACAATACCCCATTTCGGCTTGGGAAGATTTCATTTTCCCACCTGAAAATTAAACTGTAATTTAATTGTCTTTTTCTAAAATAAACATTTAAGCATTCAGAAAAACTATTTACAGATTTCCATTATTGCATAGTGTCAGTAAACAAGATTAAAAATACTAAAAAGGAATATTTTTAATAAATTATATACATCTTTGAGTTGACATTGCTATTCTACATTCACTTCAAAATAAAATACAATGGGATTTATCTGTTAATTTTCCAACCAAGACTCCTTCCTTTACTCTCTGTTGTTATGTACGGTGACAGCCAAGTGCTTAAAAGAGATTCAATCTATTTCCTTTAACAACCCTCATAATTCTTCAGTTCATTTAATTTCCAAATAACACTACTACTCTTCAAATAAATAATCCAGCTTAAGTTTAAGTTTCCACCCTAGTGCTGTGCTCAAGCACTGATCCCCTATTCTAACTTGACCCTTAGTTTGATCCCTAATCTTATCCTTTTCAATGTTTTATTTTTGTAAGAATCTATTAGATTGTGTTTTAATTAATTATTTGACACTAACATGCAATAAATTAATCTTCCTTTTTAATTTTTACTTTTTTCAAATATTGCAACAGTATTCAAGGAATTTACTCATTCTTGTAACAACCTAATCCCATATCTCTCATCATTTTATCATTCTATTTAGTCGATTGCCATCATCATTAAATTTCCTATTGATCTCTCGACTCTCAGATATTTTCTTCTCATCTCTTGTCTCAGGAATCTTGTCCCAAAAACTGCACCACAGATCAGTCTGAGAGTTTATCCTGTATTTTTTACGCTTTCTGGCAGTTGGTTCTTATTTTTTAGTAGTAGATGCTTGGAAATATTCTTAATCCCCTTGAAATTTCAGCTTGCATGCCTGATTTTGAGTACCATCCACAGTCTACCATTCTGGGATTTATCATTAACCATTTATTTTCTCTGTTGCCCAAGAAAATTAAAATGTAATTTAAGTTTTATTTTTTAGTTATCTACTTATCAATAACACTACTATCATTGAAATTGTGTATTGCAGCAAATAGCTGTATTACCACAAGATATAAAATTTGTTTATGATTTATGGTAGATAAAATAAATAAATAATAAATGATAGATCAGATCTTTTCTATGCATAGTTATTAGGCTCCTCACTTTGGCATAGGATTATAATTCCAACTTTATTCGCAACTGCTAGACTTCTCTTGAGAAGTAAATCTAAGTAGGATGAGTTCCTCAATTAAATCAATCCTTTTTACTTTAAAGGTTTTTTCCTGAGCTTATTCTTTTAACAAAAAGTTCCTTCATAAGTAACTATTTGTCAGGATCAGAGTGGATGGAAATTATAAATGGCAAAATTGCCAGTGAAATAACTAGAAGTTAATATGGGTCGAGCAGAACTTAAGATTAATTGGGTAGTCTTAGACGTCCGGTTTTAAGACGATGTGAAGATTTTGAAGGTGAAAAAAATATATGACTCTGAAGAATTTAAATTGATTATGACCTAGACTTCTAGCATTAGTAAGCATAGACTCCACAGCCAAAGTCAAATTATTGTAAATCCTCCATATTCATGGATTGGCCTTACTAGGGATCCTCTTTCAATTTTTGTTATTCTAACGAATGTATTTTTACTCATTTTTCCTTTCCTTATATTATTGGTTTCATATCAATATGCCATTTATAAATAATTAAATTTTGAAATAGGTAAAGGTCAAAACTCAAATTTTATGCTTGTTTGGTAGCTATATTATCACTTCAAGTACATCCTTGATTAAATTTAGATTGCATATTTAAGAATCAAAAAAAATGATTCATTTGGACAATCCGACTCAACCCCCATTTATCAGATGAATGAAAATTGGATAGGATTTGATAAAGTATTAGTTTTAAATACCAAAAAAACAAAAGGAATTAAGATCTATAAGATGAAATACTTTTGTTATCGACATCATCAATCTTAGATCTTCATCATGGTAGAGAAATTTAGATAGATTTAATTACTAGTTAAATTAAATATAAAAATATTAAGTTTAAAATTGATTATTTTTGTTGAGTGATAAATATTAAGAAAATGTATATTGTCTTATTAATTCAAAAGTTTTTGATACTTCAGTCAATAGTAGATTATCGATTTTACCTTTTGAAATAAATTATAAAAGTTCGTTTATTGATTGTATATTTGATGCAAAATGTAAATAATTTGATATAATTAATTGATTTTTATTAATAATTGTTAAAGTAGAAGTAATTAATTGATGATATAAAAATTGATTCAATTAGTTCATTAGATAATCTT